CTCATTGCTTTCCCAAGAATAAAGAAAACTTTTCCAAAAGACATGGATTTGTCCACACCTGAGACTGGTTCTGGAGATTCAGCCAAACAAGTCAGAGCAGTTTGGGTGGAAGTATATACATATATGAAACTTCCTTCAGATTTGAGGCCACTAAGTGCTAACAGGATATTCATGTAAATTCCCTTAAAGGTGCCAAGTTGTATTAATACTTCTTCATTTATCTCCTCAGGTAAGAAAATAAAAAGTTCATTCATCTTTAAAAAACAAAGTGCAACAGCCCTTTCCAGGGCTTAATGCTGCAAACACATTCACTGACCCTACGAAGCAGTCGGGATTTTGCCACTGGTTTCAACAGAGGTCAACTTTCACCCAAGTCAGCGAATACTGAAAACTCTCTCACTTTAAGCATTGTAGCTGCTTCACCTGTCCGGCATATTCAAACTCTGCAGCTCCTTAATTTTGAAGTGGCTGAAGCCTTCCAAATATTCAAACTTCCACCACTTTCCTTAAAAGCATGGCTTTAAACTGGTCTGGTTCAAGTTGGACAAACCTAATACAGACATTCTTACCTGGATTTAAGTCTATTTTAGACTAACTTATAGTGGCTGCTGATCAAGTGAAACTTCATGAATACAGGGAAGATTTAAATCCAGCTAAGCATGGTCCATTGAGATTGATTGGTCTATTTAAACAAGTTTAAAGCTTCAGTGGCATAACTTTGACATGGATAAACCTTTCACTGCTGCATCTCTGTGAGCTTTATTTGAAAAGATTAGGGCTCCCAAAAAAATCTTGATATAAGAAACATTGGCCAATCAGCAGAAAGTTGTGGTTTTCTAAAAAGTTACTCAACAATATTCAATCTACATTTTATCTCACAAATATTAATACAGTTATTTGGAAAAGGCATATAAAAACTCCTGTTCTGACAGCAGGCCATTAAATGTTATTCTCAGGTTGCCCCACCTACATTGAATGTTGTTTTTCTAAAACTAGACTGCTGTTTTACCTGATGTGTTTTGTCGAGAAAAACCCAGTCATGCATCTGTGAATGTTAAGAAAAAGTATTTGTTTTCGCAAGCACTAACATCACAAATCTAAAGCATGCCAACCAGTTGATTTCAATGACACAGCTGAGGACAGAAAGCAGAAAACAAAGCAAGCAAGTAGCATCACAGGCAAAAAGCCCAAATGATACTAATGAAGGTTCCTCCCATGCACATGTTTCAGGTTGGTGTTCTTATTGCAGAAACCATCTACCAAAAAGTGCAGTACATCAAAAAACAAAAAATAAAAATAAAAAAAAAAAAGAGAAAAATCAGAAAAAAAAAAGCAAGTAGAAAATTCACCATTGGTAGGACATAAGCAGCTTTTCCAGCATGCTTCAGTTCTCACCATATCGTAGCCTCCCATTCTGCCTTTGAACCCCTGTCAAAGGGTGGCCATCCACACCTCGAGCAGACTTGAAACTAGCAAAGGCTCACATCTATAAATCAAGTCAAAGTCAGAGCTGCAGTGTAGTGCTCTCCACTGAGGAAAAGGCTCTTTAATCTTTCCTTGAAATAGTCATTAAGAATTGTCTGAAACAGCTGGGAATGGAAACAAAAGGAGTCAACTGGCCCAGAGACCAGAGTGCCTCAGATGTGAAGGTGACCCTTGCTCTCAGAATGATGATGACGCACAGGAATCCCATCACATTCAAAGAACACAACCCAACATGGCTTCCCCTGGCCCCCAAACCCTGAGCCTCCCCACAGCCCTGCTGTGCCTCAGCTGCCCCTTCCACCAGCCCCAGCAGAGCCCATCCTGCCCCACGGCTCCAGGGCTCTGTGCGGGGCAGAGGGCAGCCTCCCCCGGGCTCCTGTGCCGCAACAGTGACCATGCACTGGGTAGCAATGGGCGCTGCAGAGCTGCTCGCGGGAAACGGAAGGCAGGTGTTGGCTGCCCCCTGTGCACAGCCTGAAGGGACCAGGATCTGACCTGGGAGGAGAGAACCCCTTAGACTCCATCCTCTCTGAAGCAAAGCTTTTAATATGCACCACAGTTGAATATAACTGTCTATGGGAGTTTTGGAGATGTCACACAGGAAGGATGCTAAAAATTGCTCAAGAGATTTTGCTTTGCGGATGTTTCCACAGGCTTTGATAATGCTAACAAATCTGAGAGGCTCTCTCCTTCGGAGACAAAACCAAGAATGCACACGTTCACTTGGTCTATCCTCTTCCAAACCAGGTCTGAGATTTGGCTGTAAATTGTAAGCACATCTCACTAAAACTGTCAATATAGGAAGTGCTCATCAATTCATATATGGCACAGTAATGGCAGTTCAATGTACCTTTAGCTTCTGCTTAGAAACAACTTGCAGAATATTCTTGCACAACACGCAAGTGTCAAAACAAGGTATTTCAGGTTTTACACACAATGCAAAGCTACGATACACTACAGTATTTAATGCACACCAATAGGAAAAGTTCCTAAAAAATAATCATGCAGTTTTTGTGCCATGGGATAGGTAATGGCTATTTCGTAGAAATAGATCCAACTGGCTCCATTGGAGCAGCAGTATAAATATTCAAAATAGAAGTAATAATAGGCCCTGATGTGAAACTTCTCTCTTTTTTTTTTTCTTCCCCAAATCTGTCCCTGTCAGCAAGGAAATACTCTGCTTAGGAGCAACTGCATCTTGCTACAAGAGTATAGCAGTGTGTGGAGGGGGTGGCCTTTAGGGATGTGTGCCACATCGTTGCTAACATTGTTTGATTTAAGGAAGTATTTCAGGCATTTTAGTGGTTATTATTAATCTCATTGACCAAGAAAAACAAACCAACAAACAACAGCAACAATAAAAAACAACAACAGAAAAAGTACAGCGGGCTTCCTAATGCGAGAGAACTTTCAGCAAGCATAGTGATGACAAGGCTGCTTGAACCACAGGCTGCATAGCTCAACAATTAACAACACAACTGTTTTCCAGAAAGAAAAAAGGTGACGCAGGCATGTCACTGACTCTCCACTGGCTGTCCCTGGACCTGTCCGGCTCCCTGCCAGGGATCGTGAGCACACTTTGTCCACAAAAGCCAGCAGCACACAGCTTTTCCTATGAGACTTCCTCAACACGTGCAGTGCAACAAGGGCCAGAACCTCCATGTGCTTAGTGTGCCAAAGAACCAACATCAGGTGCTGAGCTGAATAGAAACTACAGGGGATAAATATTTCCATTTACAGCACTTTGCCCAAACAAAATCAAACTGAAAAAGTCACTTCCAAAAGTGCAAATGAAATAAAACTTGGCTTTCTGTCTGTGAATGGGGCTCTCTTTGTTTTTTTTTAGTTGGAGGTTTTTTCCCTGCTGTAGGTTAGGGGTTGGTGTGAGTTGTTGCATAGGGCTTTTTTTTCCTCCTTTTTTTTTTTTTACATAGGGTTTGCTGTACCTTTACTACCAATATTTGCCATTGTTTGTACCATAGACAAAAACATTCACCTAGCTGGTAGTATCTTAATACATTTCATAGTAGAACATATACAAGAAGAAAAAACATATCAAATGAATCAGAAGTGATCAGTGCTTAAAGTAAATACAAGAGCCAGCACTGGCAAGAATCCACAGTATCAATACATATAAATGAAGCTGTGATGGTGTTTCTCATGGGGTGGAATCTGCCTGCATATTAATACAGAATTATACAAAATCTAGCAGGGATATTGGAACAATGAATAGCTAAACTTTCACAATAACTTAAGATCTGTGAGCAAGTCTGCATTGAAGATATTCCACATTTTAGAAAGTGCCATGTCTCTCTGTGTCTTCCGCCCTCCCAAGAGAGGGGCGATGAATCCACTTGATCTGTTACCGGGTAAGTTCAACTGCTTAAGAAGACAAATATCTGGCCAGGTCCAGTGTATTCTTTAAAGAATGGCAAATTATGACTTCAGTAACTATATCTGTGCAAAATATGCCTCTTTCCTTTTAAAGAAACCAGTGTCTGTAACTCATTTAGAAAAGTTCCGACATGTACTTATGTCCTTCTCAGAATGAGTAAGACATGAACTATTGAATCCCCCCAAAACAAGAAATCTGATGAAGCAGAGAAAGTTCCGACCTTCCACTTCCATGTGCAGACCACTAAAACCAGGACACTTCATTGGTAGCCCTCCAGGGCTGGCAATCAAACTATTGCTTGGAAATACCATGAACACCCTAGTAATAAAACTCCAATGTTAGTAATAAAATGGTAGCAGTGTTTACCCTCCGAATCCATGTTTACTTTGCCTTCCTCATTACACCTGTACAAGACTCATTATTTATGGTCCAAAGTCATTGTCTGTTGCTTTGACAATCTTCTTTTAAAATGCAGTAAATCCATTCATATGCTGAGTACCTTGAATTGTATTCCCATATTACACTGCCCTGTGACCTTTGGATTGTTACAGGAGACCCAGCACACAGGAGGAGAAGATGAAAGAGAAGATGTTGATCTCCAGCAACTAAAAAGCAAAACCAAACAAACACCCCCCCCCCCCAAACCCCAGAACACAGCTAAAAAAAGAGGAATAAAACAGACACAAAAAAAAAAAATCCCACAATTCTCCTTGAAAATCAGCCCCTGTAGGATGTACTTCTTCTGCATTATAGCAATAGTCTTAAGTCATAAATTAGATTAGTCTTCCATCAAATAACTTAAAAAGAAGAAAGAATTGTAGCAGACCAGTTTTGCCTGGCTTGATGCCAGTTAGCAGCCAGTTCATCCCAGTCACACTGTTCAAAAACTGAGCTAGGAAATTACATGAAGGTTGAAAAAAATAATCTTCACATCGATGCAGGATTTATCCAGGTTGCAGGGAGTCAGGGAGAGGGCAGACCTAGATGGGGCCACAGGTCCTATGAACAGTGAGCAGGATATACATCACGACTTGGAGGTGCACCACGTTCAGGAGATGCCAGCCGTGGTTTGTATTGCACAGGTAAGAAGGAAGTTCCTCCCGACAGTCTGCCACCTACATTAGTGATCTCTGCACATGGGCAAGTTCACAAAAGTGAAAACATTGAATTCTGTCATGATGGAGAAACACAGGAAGATGCCATAAAGGGAAAGGCACACACACCCTAGCTTCTTATCCAGTTTCCATTTGTTCGTGTGGACGCCAAAAACCTACAATAAACACAGAGTAAGCCACCACAGCAGGAACATTTTGAACAGAGAGGTAAACCCCCTTCTCAAACACATGAACACAAAGATGACTGTCCCCCTATTGATCATGGTCACCTGGAAGCAAGCACAGTGCAAGTACTGCAACAAGTGAGCTGAAGACCACAGGTGAAGTAAATCAGAGCAGCCTCCTTACAGTCATTGAAGCCCCACTGACTTAGATCACCTTGAGCCCTGGCCCAAGGGCCTTAAGTTTCTGCAATAAATTTCATTTTGACAAGAACAATCCCATGTAATTCAGAAATGTTTTCAAAGGCCAGATTCCCTTTTCCTCACTCAAACTGCTTTATGTGACTCTCTGCATCTCCATCTGGAGCCACAGAGTCTAAGGCTGTGCACAACTTTGCTTAGTTTGCTCTCACACACACCTCTTGGAAGATTAAAGTCTTGTGCACATGGGAATTGTGTTGGTGTGCAATGCCCAGGAGGATTCCCTATAGCAGCTGGTCTCAAGATTTGGAAGATATCACAGAAATTCTTCTGTCATTTCTAATCTGCTGTCATTTCTAATCTGCTATGCTGGACATGGGCAGGACAGGGAACATGAGGCATGGATTTCAACAGAAACATTGTCATGCCCAGGCACTATTTGTTCTGGTTGGTGTTGCAGTTCAGAAGGTTCTTATGGAGAGCCAAAGCAAACTGTACAGCATTCTGTCTACCTGTCCAACAGGAGAATGGATCTTGTCATACATCAAGGGATCTGGTCCAAGTCTAGCATGAGAAATAACTAGTGGATCTCTTGGGCTCCTCCCATGAAAAATACACAAATATGAGAGGAATCCTGTGACAGAGACAGCTTCTGCAAAGTGCCAGCTCAAGGTCTTGGGAAGTTTACAATAGGAGTGATCATTCCTATTCCTTAACAACAGACCTTGCAACCACTATTATAGCTGGAGGTGAGAAAGGAACAGGTGAAGAAACTGTCTATAAAAATCACTCTTTGGAAACGAAGAACGAAAGACTATATACATACTGTGACAAAAACAGATGCCAGCAGGAGACCGACAGAATAGATAAGTCCTCTGCTGTTTAACCGAATCTGTAAAAGAAGGAAGTTTATAAAACCATGTCACAATTTGAAGCAACAGTATTTCTCTCTGCTGGTAATTCAGTAATCCGAAACTGCTGAGTTGCTGAACAATGGCTTGCAAGCTGTAAGCACCAGTTCAGGCCCATTACATCACACATTATTTATTTTGCATGCTCCCTATTGCCAAAGAAAGAGTACTGATAGAGAAGCATTCTTAGGAGCTGACAGCATCTTGAACTGTTACACCTCACACAGGCTTTGTCATTCCTTATACTGTTATATCACGGATTTTCTTTTTGGCACTTAACTCATATAGGAGTCCGGCAAGAATAAACAATGGAAAGGAAATTTTGCATTCAGTCATCCATTACTTCTTCATAGTGGGGAAAATAAACAAGGACACACACAAACACGTGATTTCTTCCCTACTCTTACTCATCTCAGCGAAGGAAACAAGTCAGTAATCTCAGTGCCTGCACCTCAGCTGCTGCAGATCATCACTATCAGTGCAGCATGGCACATCAGCAGAGGCTGAGCATAATTTAGCACTGCGGCAAATAGGGCAAAGAGTCATTTTATTGCCTGCAGGGCTGCACAGAAATACCATCACTAAGGTAGCCAGGCTCCGATGGAGCCATCTCCATGGCAGAGCCGCAACTGCAGCCACTGTGCCAGCAGAGAACCAAAATACACATTCAAAGCCATGGAGCTATTTAACTCCTACTTTTAGAGGCTTTAGAGTCTAATCAAAGGCGCTCACCTGCACCTTGAAGCCCTAAATATATTTAAATCCATTATTTTATGCAACGTAAACCTAGAACTACATAGGAAGACTACAGGGAGTAAAGCACCTCTCCAATCCTGTTCCTCAGCTAGGATTGTGCTTTTCCTCAGTTTCCCATTCTTCTCTTGAGGAGCTAAACCAATGCCCCTTTGGGTATTTTTATACTATCTTCTCAAGCAGTATCACCTGCAGTACCATCAAGACAGCACTCAGATGGAGCCTCTCCAGGCATTTCTGCAGAGGCTACTGTGTGAGGGATACTTTCTCCTAGGGAAGATCATCTTCTCCAGGGAAGCATGAGGGCAGCTGGAAGCTGCAGTGTGGCTACCATGAGTGATTGAACTGTAAATCTTTAGATCACTTAGTATCAATTATTATCTTAAGACCACCATAAGGTAACACTGCCTATAGTATTCCTCCCTGTACCTTCTGTGCAATGAAACCCTACGTGAAGCTGAGTTTCAACTGACAGTCACCAAAATTGATTGCTATTTAGAGTAAAATGACTACTTAACTTTCCTGGCAGAGATCAATCTTAGCAAGAAATTACGTACAAGTATTTTTCAAGGATGCTTTAGAAAAGGACATTGCTATTGTTTGTCCAGTAGACTTTGGTTCTCTGCAGTGCAGGTATATTTTCAGTCACACGACTGCTGCAGAGGTCAAACAGCAGAACTAAATGTGGTGATCTTCCTTAAATGGACTGGTATCCAATTCTTAATTGCTCAGCTTGCTCTACATTTGTCTACCAGGAAAAGCAAAAGCATTAGTCCATTCCTGCAAACGATCTGCAGAGAAAAAAAATGGTTCCCAGAATGAAAGCTTGTTCACCTGAAACAACACATTTTTTTTAATAGCTGGATTTATCTCTTGGATTTTAATCTGTTTTAGTTGAATAAACAATTCAAACTAAACTTCTGTGCTACCATAGTATTTTCTCAACTATCAACACAGAATGTGTATCACTGACCACTTTTCAGTGCTGCATCCTTCCAGTTAGACTATAAAGAAGCCCATTTGCACAAGAAGTGGTTACTGCTCAATCAGTGACAAGCAGTACCACATGACTGCAAAAGTGCTGAGGCACTTATATCACAGAATCAGGAAAAACTTCTCACCCAAATGTTCCCAAATCCAGAGTAATGATGGAGCTTCACTCCCCAAGGACAACTGAGGGGAGAGTCTGATTTCCACAGCCAAGGAAAGAGCTGTTGGTTTTGACATTTTGCAAACCTGAGCCTGCAATGAACTCCATATACCCAGGATCCTCTGTGCAAATTCATGTTGGGGACAAGGTCAAGCATGCTGCAAAAAGACAACCCTGGAAGGATTTCTCCTCTGCTGTACATGCTCAAGATTCAGCATGACGATGTATTGCTGTACTTCCAATAAACCATAACAAGCATGAATAGGTCTTGCACAGCTACTGCTACACCCTGGAACTGTTATAGCATCTGTACTCACAATCCTCCCACCAATATGCAGAGCTCTGTTGCCCCCTGAGATTTGCTGTTATCTTCATGTATGTTAAAATATTGGCTTACACAAATGGCAGATTTTCCTTCTTTACTAATTTTTGCCATCATAAAAAAGGCTCCAGCCATGACGATCATTTGTTCTTAGAGGTATTACAGGATTTCTTTAAGACAGTAACTGTAAGCTGTAAGTGCATGTATGTACAGCAGGACCGTTATATTCTGACGGGCATTAATGTAAAGTACAATATTCTCACTAGATTGTCCAAAGAAATGAAAGATTTGGGCTGCTTCAGAGTTTGAAGGCCAATTTTGGGACTGTCTGCATAACTGAAGACAAAAAACATAATGATCCCACTGACAATGTGAACTGCAGGTTGCAAGTCGTGGACAGGAGGGAATGTATTTTTGCAGAAGATGTCTCTAAGGCCACTGCACCATCTGTTCTCAGTCCTGAGCAAACCTCAAAGTTTTGCTGAAATAAGAGCTGCTTTTGGGATGAGAGACAAGTCAGGTTCTGACCCAGAAGCCTTTTTTCTTTGATACCCCTCAGTGTATTTCCTGTTACACTAAGGAACCATGACAAGCTAAACCAGGGGAAGTTCAGGTTAGATATAAGGAAAAAGTTCTTTACTGTGAGGGTGGTGAGGCCCTGGAACAGCTTGTCTAAAGAATGCCCCATCCCTGGCAGTGTTCAAGGCCAGCCTGGACTGAGCCTTGGGCAACATGGTCTAGTGTGAGGCTAGATTTCTATTTTAGTTATCCTAAAATGCAAAAAAGCCCCCAACCTAACTTTGTGTAACTAAAATACAAATTGAAAGGCACCTTCTCTGCTACCCGGTACGAGTAGCAGCTGGTAGGAAAGACAGATACTATTTTACAAAAAATTCCTGTATGGATTTTGGTCAGGAACTCTGTTTCACTAGTGCCGATATCTGTAAAAACTGTCAGCATCAAATACATCAATCGGAAAGGAATCTACAGGAAAAGGAAGCAAATGAAGCAGCTGGAATTATTGTAGCATGGAAAATGCCTGAATTCAACCTGAAGTGCAGATGCTGCTTCTCGGTTACATCATTAGCCTCCATAAAACCAGCATTTGGAAAGACAACTATTCCAAAGGCCTCTGTGTCTAATTTGCTGAGGACAGTGCTTCCAAAGAGAGGTGTTTGGGGCTGCCTGCTTTGGACTATCTGCAAGGTTCCTCTTCGGAGGTCATTCAGGGGAACAAAAGTTGCTATTAAGGATTATTCAAAACTAGAAAGCATATGCTAATTATTTATAACACTGATCCCACATGGGCAAAGCGAATGTGCCAACCCCCCTTTCAGCAGCCTGAGCACTGATATTCCCTTGCAGTGGTACTGCATTAAAACACTGGAATTTCACCGCAGGTTAGCAGTTCACAACTCAGGCTTAACTAGCAATGTGTCTGGCCTAGGATCTAGCCCAGCTCCTACTGTTGAGTAAAGCAATTAACTAGTAATTAACCACAATAACAAGAACTTTCCTTTATGAAACTTGACTCTTCCCATCGAAAGAAAGGATTTCTGGGGTGAGGGAAGATGTTTTCTAATGCAGTTTTCACTTTCCAGTGCTTTTTGCTCCGCAAACAACTGGGACATTCATTAGGGTCATTGCCTAATACCTTACTCTGCCATGGGACAGCAGGATTAAAACCTCTCCCTGTACATAGCAAAGGGTGGTTTCCCTCGGTGAGCAAATGTTACTTGTGGAATGCACCTTGTCAGAGAGCTCATTTGGCTTAACTGGGTATGTATCATAGCTGGACTTTCTGGAAGAAAAAGTGCAACTCTTTGGGTAAAAAAAGGTGAGCTTTGGGTGAGCTAAAAGTACTATAAAAGCTGTGCAGAATTCCAGACGTTTCCACCGTGGCTCAGGAGGTGACACATGCATGGCAGCACCCTGCTGTGCCATGCAGCAGGCAGAAAAGGTACAGAAGGGGACCAAGACCATGGGTGAGAAGGACTATAAACCAGTGAGAAGCAAACGAAAACCAACAGAAAGACAGCTGCAACAGAAAAAGAGCGTTGATGTAAGTGTGTCCCCAAAGCAGATTTGCCCTGGAATGGCTGGGAGATAGACTCCATAGATGGGTGTGGGGTGTAATTCCAGATGTACTGGACTTGCAGCATACATGCTGCGAGTTACTCTATGTGCACACAAATACTCCAATTAACTTGGCTTGCTGCTTATGCATGGAACAGCTCTGGATGGTGTGTGCAGTGAGTCCAGCTGTGTCTCATGCATTGCTTTTCTGGCACTTGCAGTGAGTCTGACCCCACTCGACTTTTGCACATGTGGAGAATGGCATACGTTCGGCCACCATGCCCAGGGGCTCTAGGTTATTTAAGAGAGGCCTGCAGCAAGCTGGCTTATGCCAGTAAGAAATCTCTCTCATTGTAGATATAATTCTTGTTTAAGCCTGTTGCCCAGATGCCTCTCACTATAAAGGTTTCTTGGACTAACTAACCTGAAGGATCCTTTCTGCTTCTGCATTTGATTTTGGACTACCTGCTGCTTGTTTCACAGATTGCCCATAAGTCTATAGCTCTGGAAATAGTTTTAACTGACAAACTATTCTCACTTTTCTGATTATCACTGTAGCCTGCTCTATTTCTTATTGTGACTGTGAGCTCAGAAGGTTTTGAAATTTTGGCACAAAAGCTTAAGAAAAATATATCCTTGATCTGCCAGAGTACAGTAGAAATCAGTGAAGCAGCCTTCCC